TTAATCAATTAATCAATCAATCCTCCTTTAGTGTTTTTCAATTTTACACAATATATACCATTGTTCCCCAGTATCTCACCATGGAACAACACTACGGGTCTGTGGTCTAGGGGTATGACACTCCCTTAGCATCCAGCAGTTATTCGAGGACTGAGCTTGATGTGGGAGAGGTCCCGGGTTCAATTCCCGGCGGATCCAGTTCTTTTTGCTCTTTTTTTGCACTACCTCACATCCGAATAGGTCAAATTTTTGGTGATTTTGCATTCTTGAATCGGAGGATCACGTGAGTCGAACCGATTCTGGTTGCACCAAACCGGCTTAGCGCCCCGGGCGGTCCTCGGCTAATCTCCAGTCTAGCCTCTTCCGGCAAGCCCACCACACCTTATTGCGTCCTTACTGCGGCGCTATTGGACTACCGACGTGTCGACGTGTCTGCGAAAATGCGAGGTAAGCTTCGTACTGTGAGATCATGCTAATGAAAGTGAAGCGGCATCGAGTTTGATATCGTAGGTGGCTATCTGAATATTGTTTATGCACAGATTGCAAAAAACGCCTCGAGGTTGTCATTTGAGTTCATTCTAAAAATGCTTTCCATTGATGGCTCGGACTAGGCTCTCACAATGCGTCGACTTTGGTGACTTACACCAGTCTAGCCCTGACTTAATTCGCTGAACATATTCGAGGTCTGTTTGTGCCTCATGTCTTTTTAATCCAGTCTTCCTTCGTCAAATTTCTCGAATACCTCGCGACTTCCAAAGACGAAATTTTCCGGGACCTGACATGGGAAGAGATATTTTCATTTTGTCTGAAGATGCTTTAAATTCTCGTCCTTTCACAATGCGGGTCTATGCCGAATCCTATTCAACGCTGAATCCATCGAACTTGCATAAAACACTAGGATTAAAGGAATAACTGTTGGTAAAGGCCACCACCATTTTAAACCCATTCACAAATCGCCAACACTACATACTATACCAATCCACCCGGTATCCATCCATCCCCCTCCATGACACCATCAAACACACAGGGAGCACGCCAACAAAGCATCTAACCCTCGCTGCCTGTCCATCCATCCATCCATCCACTGCCAAACCCCTTCCTGCGCCTTCCCACAAGAACCCAGCCTAGTTCAGCCCAGCCCAGCCCAGCCCAGCCAGCCCTCTTCCACATGGCCAACAACGTCGCGGAGTGAATTTCCCCTCTGAATCCAACGCAACGCAACGCAACACAACGCAACGTGGGAAGCACCGTCACTCATTCTTGGCTCTGAGTGACGGGACGGACGGACGGAGAAGAGGGGATAGGCGGGGGGGAGCCACACGTTTGCAGCGACGTGATGAGATGAGACGAGATGAGACGAGATGAGGTGAGGTGAGACGAGATACTTAAAACACACGGACAAACGGGCAGACGGGCAGACGGGCAGACGGACCTCATAGTGTCTGTCTCCGCTGGGTCCGTCTTGTCCCGCCCATGTCGTGTCGCGTCCTGAAGCTCAAGCACTACAGATTGCTTTTTGCTGTCGTTGTTGCTTATGCGTTGTGTCGCGTCGTATCGAGCATCGCAGCCACAAAGTAAGGCACGGAAGACGCGGAGGACGCGGGGACGGACGGGATGGACGGGACGCGATAGTTTACTTACCTACCTACCTACCTACCTACCTACCCACTTACCTACGGTACCTAATTACAGCACATTCCATCAGGCACCGAGCACTCAAGTCTCAAGCCTCGTAGCGCACAAGCAAGCAAGCAAGCAGGCAAGCACCGCCAAGACTGAGTGCCGGGGTGGGGTACGACGACTCAAGACACGGCGTTGGCGGGCGGAGGCGGAGCTCGCTCTCTCGTGTCTGACTGGCTTGGCGACTTTTCCATTCATATCTTGGCCGGGGAGGGAAAGAGGTGCGAGCGATGAGAGAGATGAGAGAGATGTGGCGCTTTGGCAAGGGCGCTGTGGTTTGTGATTTGGCTTGGCTTGTTTTTGCGGAACGTCATCAAGGGCCCTCAGGGGGCTGAGGCTGACGTTGCCAGAAGAGTTGTAGGCAGCAGTGGATGGGGATGGGGATGGGAAGGGGGAAACGCGAGACAGTGTCGAAGTGAGGATTTACGGCGAGTGCGGGAGCTGGGTCAGGTAAACGGTGGGGTTGAGGTGGTGTGGTTGACTGACGATTCTGCTCGCTGCTTGAGAGAAGACTGTTGAGAGAAAGGAGACTATGGGTCTGCGGTGGCTATGACAGCAAACGATAGATCCCTAGGTCCAATCCGACGCAGTGAACCAATGCACCTTTCAATATTGTCACAGTTCCAGGCGTCATCATTTCTTCGACACCCACTGCGACACCATGCTGGAGCTCAAGTGCGTGCGGCCGAAAGACATCGATACCTCTGACTGATGACCGGCCAGCTGGCCAGCTGGATCTTTCGTGTCCCTCCACTCGATGTAAGTACTCGCAGCATGGAGACGGCCTCAAGAAAGTATCAGGAAGCTGAAACCAACCCAAATCCATAAAGTGGGGTCACCACAATGTCCTTGGATTCCCATGGTGTCTTACCATCAATTGTTATGGCGAGTACTTGAGAACAATCCCATCGCTCAGTTGGTGTGTCGGGTCGGTAAAGATTCTCTCGTCAGTAAGATCTGCGTTCTTGTCATTTTCCCATCTCCACCCGTTGGTCTTCTTTTTCTCGTCTTGGCTTGGCGCCATGAGACAACGAATGCTTCCCGCCCTCCATCAATCATTTGGGTATATCCATATCAACCTGCGCCATTGACTGCAGCCGTCCGCAGCCAAACTCGAAGAATGTAAACGCCAGAATCCCAAATTTTCGCCTTGCTCTTGAAAATGCCGTGCCTACATACGCAAACAGCTCGTCTCATCGTGCGCTCTCTTACACTCTAGCCCGCACACCCTCGCCGCGCACCTCAGACACCTTACCCTCCCCCAGTATCCGCAAATTTCGCAAAACAGCCTTCGCGACGGGCCCTCTGCGGCTGGTGGTGCAGCTCTTGCTGCTGTGTAGGGGAGCGGTGGATGCGCGAGCAGCGTCTGAATTTCTTGTTCGGTCGGTAAGATGGGCACATTGGCTCTCAAAAGCGGTTCGTAGTCGTCGATTGGCGTAGGCTCCGCCAGCACACTCTCCATTTCCAGATCGATCATAGGAGCCTGCTGGACTCCTCCGCCCGAAGGCGCTGGACTCCCCACCACTGCAGCCGACGGAGTCGTAGGCGCGCTCTCGGTTGTCGTGGTCGTTGCGGCGGCCGCTCTTTTCGCCGCCCTGCCCACGGCCGCAGCACCCATACTGCGCTTCCTGTTCTTCGAGCTCGCCATTGCGGTAGCTTCTGCCGCGCCCGAGCTAGGTGCCGGACTGGCCGTCGCGGTGACAGACTGGCTCCCGGGCCCAACAGAGCCCGCCGCAGCAGGCGCGCCGGTCCGCTGCGCCGCCAACGCTTCCTCGTCCGCCAGCCAATGTGCAAACGTGCGACCGCTCTGCAGAATCTTGCGCACGGCGGGCGTCATTTTCCTGCCCTCGCGCTCGCGCTTCAGAACGCCCCCGCCTCCCGCCCCCCGTGCCTGCGGCAGTGCCACGTCTTTTTGATTGTCGCGGTCTAGCTCGGCGATGCGTTTGAGTATGGCTGTCTGCTGCCGTGCAGGTAGATCGCTGATGGCATTGCCGCCGCTACCGGCATTGTACGCGTCGGCCTGGTGTTGGGATTGGCGCGCCGCGGTGCGCTTGCGGCCACTGGGGTTGATGGCTGCTTTGCTCGGGTCGTAGCCAATGTCGGGGACGTAAGCCCAGCCGGGAGCTGGCGCGGGGCCGCCCGTCGTGATGGGTATGACTTCGATGTGCGGCATCGATGGAGAACGCGGTGGAGGGGCTGCAAAGACAGAAGGGTCGGCTTAATGGTCTTTTGGGTTGCATAGATTTGGCCGACAGGGTTGACCCTCTGATGACGCACAGACCTGGCGGGAGTTAACTGGATGAGGCTTAGCTGTCGATCCAGTGTGCCCTTGCCTTGCTTTCCTTTTGAGGATGTTGATCGGAGATGTCAACCAGGTCAGAATTGTTCTTGACTCACTGCGGTTTGCTTTTTCTGGTACTGAGTGAACGCATCGGCTTTCATTTTATGTCTCAGAGACTGTCCTCCAGGTAACGAACGAAAATTTATGCGACGGTCAATCACCACAAACTCTAACCCTTTTCCGTCCTTCCTCTTGTCGAGAAATGAGTGGATAGATAGGGTGCTTACCTATGCTCCATTTTCTCGGCATAAACGGGAGCAATCGAGCTGACAAGCGGCTTTGAAAGCACTGGTAACTGTGAGCAATGTTCTAGACTATTCAAGGCTTGAATGTACCATACTTCTCACCCGGAAATATGATGACTGAATTTATGGCTTTTACAAAAACTGGTGATTACAAGTAGAGCTCTAGTCATTTAGTTAAAATGCTTGTGTGTAATCTTAGCTTAACACGTCGTCAGACAATAAGTTTGGCGCAGATAGGGGAGCATTCATGTACATACAGAGCTACATAGGCGTAAAGGACGAAGAGCATCCACAAGCTCCGACGAGAGAAAGCAATTTTATTTCACTGTCTCACGACTTTCATCAAGAGACTTAGGTGGTAAGCAGCAACTATTACCGTCTCCAAGGAGAGCTTAAATAACCTACATCCGCTTCCTTGTTCTAGTCATGTTTGCTTCAATTATCTACTAAAACTCGGTATTGGCTTCGCTAGCTTTTCTACCTTGCTTCGTTTCCCCCGTCGGTTCCGATGCTCAACATTTAAGAGCAACGAGCTTACCGAATTTAAAGGTTGAAGGAAGTTAGTTGCGTAGTATTCTATTCACTACTCCCCTTTTCTCAGCGCCTATAGCAAATTTTCAAGCTGTAGGCTCAAGCAAGGCAGCAGCAACACGACTTACGCGTGATTCAGAGCGCCCTTTTCTGCCTCATGGAGAGAAGGAGCATTTCTCGATCATCATCGCGAAGCTAGCACAGTCCGGCAGATCAAACAGATACGGGAAAACTCTCGCATAACAATAAATCGTTCGACTTGATAAGGTAGTAAACAAGCGTAGTAGTAGTAGAAGTGTGGTGGTGATTCTGGCGGCGGCGGCGGTGGTGGTAGCGGCAGCAGCAGGCACCCGAAGACGACGTCGCCCACCACGAAATCTCTGGCTTGCAGCGAACACATA